CTTGAGAAAGATTCTCACAAAAATCAACATCCAATCCCATTTCACTTCTTGTTTCTTCATTTTCTTGAGAAAGATTCCCACAAAAATCAACATCTAATCCCATTTCACTTCTTGTTTCTTCATTTTCTTGAATGGGACTTTCAAGATTATTGCCATCTTTGTCTAATTCTTCTTGAGAGGAGGTTTCTGCAAAAAAATTCTCATAATTCGGTATACTCCTCCCACTTCTCGTTTGACATTGTCTCTTCTTATCCCGACCATTATAATCATTCTAAAATAAAATAAAAAATAATTAGTTCAACAGATTTATTTATAACATCTAGTTAAAATAATATTTATTGATACCTCCTTCTGATATCTTTTTACTGATGTTGGTAATCCAGCATTAAAAGTATCACCATTGACTATACCAATTCCTAAATAAGTGCCTTCAAATGTTGAATTCTGTAAGTATATTGAGGTACTAGCAATCTCTTTACTTTTTTGTAATTCTCAATCTTTTGCTAGCTGACAATGAGGTTGAACACCCTAGTAGAAAAAAAACTTAGTAATATTCTTGACATTTTTGAACCGATTTAAATCCCACCAGGTCAACTCAAAGTCTTGAACATCAGCCAATCTTGAAGATTTTCTGTGCTCCAACATTAGCTTCGTGGCTTGTCTCAAAGACTTGAATGACACAGGACTCGAAGTCCTCTGCCACACCACCATGACTCTTTGTTTATGTAATAGTAATGTATTTGCCTTTTTATACTTATCAAGCAACTCTTGTGCTTGTTCACTCCTTATGTCTTTTTTAGTATTAGCAATGATTTCAAGAGATGTAAGGTAGGCTTCCACTTTTTTCTTATATTCTTCTATACTGCATTCTTCCAAGAAGTCCAAAATATTCCAATCTGCACACTTTCGAGTGAAAAATTTGTGTATTTTGTTAGACATTGTTTTGAAAACCTACCTCGGTTACACAACAAGGTTTTTTTAAGATAAGATTTCCTTATTTTCTACAATCATGGGGGTTCTGGGCTGGGATTTGTGTAACCGAGGTAGAGTTGATGCAAAGTAGGCTTCTACGGTCTATAATCATTAATTGCTTATAGTAACAATTGGTCAACTTCAAAATACTATATAAAACAAAAAAAAATTATATCATTTTAAAAAATTTAACCGATAAGTTTTATTGTCCATGACTCAAGCTTCAAAACT